GCTGGGACGCCCCCCCGGCTTGCACTCATAGCACGAGGGCGAGACCCCCAGGCTTAGGCGGCCAGCAGACGTGGCCGGGTAGTAGAGCTCATGGTAGCGGGCGGCACTGCTGGGGCTCAGGAGCCCCAGGGGAGCCTGGAAGTGCTCGGTCTTGGTGTGCTCCCACTTGTACTCGAAATTGAGGCCATGGCTGGTCTCCATGACAGTGAGGATATCGTCCCCGTCCGAGGGGAAGCCGTCAGCTGAGAACTGCTCCAGTAGCGGGAAGGAGGAGAGCTCTGCACCGTGGTGACTGGCGCTGGTGCTGCCGTTGGGTTTCATGGAGTTCCAGCGCTTCTCAAACTCCTCCTCGGCCTCCGTTGCCCCTTTGGCGCACAGGTAGGACAGCAGCAGGTGGACCTCCTCCGCCGTCGGCCGCTGCTCCGGCTGCAGCCAGCAGAACTGCATCACCTCGTACCTGCCGTGGGGAGGGGTGGGGGTCAGCCCTGGCCCCCCATCCACCCCAGGGATGGGAGGAGGGAAGGGGAAGGAGGTGGTCGTGGCCCAGCCCAGGTCCTCACCAGCGCTCTGACAGCGACAGCTTCAGCTGGGGCTTGGGCAGTTTGAGCTGCTGCTCCTTAATGGCGTAGGCAAGCACTTGTCGGTCGGAGTAGTGGTCATAGGGCTGACTTCCCAGCTCAAACAGCTCCCAGATGGTGACACCCAGCTGCCTGCAGGCAGGGCAGGATGCTGGGGGTGTGGACAGACCCACATCCCACTGCTGCCAGCCCCCAAAACACACCCACTCTAATGCTGCCCTCACACCAGACCCCTCCCTCTGCACCCCTCAGCTGTCAGCCCATGCTGTGCCCCCATGTCCCCACCCAGACTCACTCACCAGACGTTGCTGGCCTTGGTCTGGTCCACGATGAGCAGGTTGCCGTGCACCTCGTCGATGAGCTCGGGCGCGATCCAGCGCAGCGGCACCCAGAGCTGGTCGGCCGTCACAAAGTAGTCGTCCTGCCAAGTATGCAGGGTCAGTACGAGAAGAGAACGTCAAACCTACGCGGAAGGGACCGGCCATGCCACCGCCAGAGCTGTCCCCAGCCCCGCCACCTCCCCGCCACCCCGTTCCTCCCCCTCCAGTCCCTCCTTCCCCCATCTTCCCATTCTTAGCCCCCCCTCAGCCTTCTCCCACTGACCCCGCCTCCACTCCCTGGCTGGACAGACAGACAGTCCCCAGGACAACGTGCCTGCAGGGCCATGGCCCTGGCCAAGGGGCACGTCCAAGCCCCCCAGGCACTATCAGGGAGCTCCAGCTGCACTGTAGCCTGCTGGACAGGGGACCAGGGCACTCAGAGGGACCAAAGCCCCCTCTTCGTGTTCAGGGAGAGCTGCTGGATGGGGGTGGAGGGACACAAGGCTGGGCAGTGGGCAGCTTGTTCCTGGGGTGCAAAGTAGTCTGTGGGGCAGCACTCCCTGCCACTGCCCCAGCAAAACCTGGGGGGCTACTCTAGCACTGCTGGGGATGGGAGATGGGTGGGAATTCTGCAGGGCTCCGTGCAGAGCCACAGACCCGGAGCCCCCCTTGCCCAGCCCCAGGGTAGTGCTGCGGGGTCCCAGCTTGGAGCCCCCAACCCCCTCCTTCCCCCAAACCAGCCTTACTTTGTACTTGCAGTGCGAGAGCCCGTAGTCCCCAATCTTGACGGTCAGGTCAGCGGTGAGCAGGCAGTTCCGCAGGGCCAGGTCGCTGCCAAGCAAACCCCGGGGCTGTCACTGCCACCTCAGCGGCTCGAGGTGGGGGGCACCCACCGCCCGGGGGACGAGGGGACCCCCCAGGGCAGCGCCGTGGCGAGTGGGCTGGCGGTAGGAGCAGGACGGCCGTGGCTGTGGCCGGGGCG